CAGTCATTTTCCAAATACACTGAATATTTACTGATAAAAACAGCATTATATTCCGATAATCAAAACTGTAAATATGACATTAAAAACGTTACAGTTATGCAAAGCACTAATTATAAGTGTGTTAACTGGAAAATAAAATTTTTAAGTTAAATAAGTTGGAAAAAAGCTTGTCTTTATTGATATATACATTACTTATCCTAAAAGGCTCAAATAAAATGGAAGTATCGGAAAAAAAAATCCATAAACTACCCTAAAAATGTAGAAATGAAAACAATAGCACCTTCATATAAACTCCTTAATAATAAATGAATAAATATTTTTTGCAATTTTCTGATAGGTAAAAAAATACTTTCTTAAACTGGACAGCAGATTATTCTACAGTTACTTTTAACAAGCTCCAAAGAAAAGGGAGACAATTTTCAACACCAGTGAAATCTTTTTATAACCTGCCTGCCTCTTTTACTTAGAAAAATTTCCCAATGCAGCCAGTTACTGCCTTTTCACACTGCTGGACATCTCTTATAGCACTCAGCGAGGCATGACACAAACCTGAGAAACTACAAGAATTTGTATCCTAAATCAGACAAATCTCACTAGCAAAATAGGAGAAATAAGTACAATATATGCATAGGTAAAATATATAACTATCCTTTTAATGTAGCCAGTAACATCAACAGAGCCATATTTTCTACCTCCTATTTTTACTTCTCCTCATCCCATCTGTTGGCAAATATATGATTTGTCTTACTGAAAAAAAGATACACTTTTCTGTAGCAAATATGAGCTATGTCTAAATAGCTGTAGGAGTGGACATACTCTTGTAATGCATCAGGAGTCTTCTATATGATAAGCCCTGTCACATTCAAGTTAGAATTGGCACTCAGAGGTCACATGGCATATTAAATTTTATTCACTAAGGCCTTGAACTTGCAATACTCCATGAGAATACTCTGCTTAAAAGGAATTCTGCTGAAGTAATTCAAATACTAGAAATTGTGTAGCCTGGAGACTGAAGGATTAGAGTATATTTATATTGAATATGTAGCAAAGATGTCTAATAGGCAGTTATCTGAGACTTATAAAAAACAATCATTGTCATTAAATTTGTGGAATATAAATGAAATAACTACAGAACCTGTATTTCAATATGAGAGAAAGTTTTCCAGAGTTTTCTATTTGGAATTGGCCTTTGTTTTCTAAAGAAACGTTTCCATTTTTTATTTCAATTTGAAAGACGCTTTCTATTTGCTCTTCCTTGTCAAGTATGAAAACATGTTTATTTGACTAGGTTGGTATATAATGCACAGTGTAAAAGATTTTATGTTAAAACAATGCTTTTTTTTTTTTTTTAAAGAAGGTAAACAATTATTTTATAATTATTTTTGAAAGACTATTATTGTATTCCTACAGATGTTATTGAAATAAGTGGTGTATCAAACATGTGTTGTTCATCATTTTCATGCCATTTTATTTCCACACTGTTCATTTTAGAGTCCTTAATAATTACTGGAGAAACAGGCATTAGTTCACATCCCATAAGCTCTCTGCTCTTGACAAACAAAGGCTGTCACTACATGCAGACTCTGTTCTTAAACAGGCTCAGGAAGGAATTACACTATTTTGACCAGCAGAAAATATAAAGTGACATGTCCCAACAATATTACAAATAATACAATCCAAATAGGAATGTAATCTTGCTTCCAAAATTTTATAGCTTTAGTAATTCTTCTGTGCTCAGCATGATTAATCTTTTTGCACTTGATCACAATAACAGTTATTTTTAAAAAGTGAAAGGTTTTCTTCTCAGCCATGTTATTTATATTATGTTCTCAATACACTTTCTCCATTTCAAAGCATAAAATTGTTAGGGTATTATTCTGAATCTCCTTGAAAGAGCACAAAGAATTTAACAGTGTTCTGTACAGTGACAGAAGAGAAAAAGGTTATTAACAGTTAACTTTCTTAGGCATATAGTAGCATAATAGGCACAGGCAAACAAGATGTTTCTCTTTCAAGAGCTGTAAAAGTAACAAGTAATTCCGTATGTTCTTTTGATGATAATTGTATAGATCTTTATTTTTCTTTACTTTTAATCTCAAATCTCTCCAGCCTTTTGCAGATACTTGGATAGAAACAGAATAAATTAATAGATAGTCCATAAAACCAATCGAAGACCTGCTGAAACACACTGAAACAAATTGAGTTATGTTTTAGTTCTTCCAGGGTGCTCAGTAAAACAGCAGAATCTCAGTCTACTCCTACTGCTTTGAAGAAAGAAAAGGAACTACTTAAAATGACTTTTTCCTTTTGTGGAAAAGACTAGAACCGCCTAGTCTTTATCTAGTCCTAGATAAAGATTTCACAGTTCCTTGAGCTTATACTTTTCCTAAAAATCACATCACTAAAAGTGATTTATCTGGAAAAAAGGTGTTCCACCATTTCAGAAAATAGAATCGTTTGTCTTTCCAGAACTCAAATGTATGGTATGCTTTAGTTATTGCATATTATAGTAAGCTTTGCTCTCTCAATTATAATCTCCTACTGTGCGCACACACTCTAAATTGTAAATGTGAGATAGTTTCAGAATTTAATATATTTTTTATGCATTTACTCATGAAAAATATCCTTGTAATTGAAATACATAATGCTGTCATTTAATGTCTATAAAACTTACCTAGTTAACATTTTCTCAAGTTTCATATATTTCTCATGGCCAATTTTGATAGAAAACACCTGGGTTTTAGTCACTAGTTAGGTCTGTCACAAATTCATGGAAAGGTGCCTGGTGCAGCAATAGCTAAAGATGCCTTGAAAAGGAAATGGAGCTCTTTGATCTTTTGCTTGGAAATGTTTTCCTGTGTCGCCATGGTATCAGTGATAGCTATTTTAAGACACGGGATATGGAATATCTTTGAAAATATAGCTAGGCAACATATAAATCATCTGCACTCTAATACTTCTAAAACAGTGACTAATCTTTCCATATTTCAGTGGAATGGAGTAATATTATGTTTGCGTATGGAATCCTTCAGAAAATTCAATTTTGAAGTTTCTGTCTGCTGATTCCAGCTTACTCAAAGCCACTGCAGTTTTCACAAATCTGATAAAATGTTGCACAAGAATTGCAACAGCCCTTTGCATCCCTTTCAGATCCCTTAATTACGTTCATTAGTTTCTAAAAAACGACATGTAATGAAAGCTTATATGTATCTAACTTCAGCGTTAGAGACTAAGTCTTCTGCAAACAGTTTATTGATTTCATCCAGAATGCCTTGCAGATAAACTCCCCTTCACATTTTCCCATAGAGCTCTGGAATTCCTCTGCCTAGCATTTATCTTTTCCTTCCTAGAGTAGAGACCTGCTGTTGGAAAACCATGTAATAGTTGGAATTGACAATTTGCAGTACTCAGGCTAATTTCAGAAAGGAGTTCTGATCAGTCTGATATCAATGAAGCTATGATTATATCTATGTTTTATCTTGTATTATGAAATGCTTATTAATATGCAGCTATTTACCTATTCATGTTCACATGTTATTTTCTCAAAACAGAGGATATCAAATGAAGATTTCAGTACTTACTAGATTGGTAGTGATGTGTTTCAGAGAACGGATGGTGAGAGGGAGAGAATTAGAAATAGAAACACATCAATTCCTTTGTAAGCAAAGTCAAGTCTTAAGTAGAAAAACCTTAAAATTGTAGTTATTGTTGTTAAGGAATAATTATAGTCCATATCCCAATAACATGCTAGCTGAATGTAGGACAAAACAGTTCCCCGGAATTCCTGAACAGAGGAATAGAGGTTTTATTTTTGTCATTCAAAAAATCATTGGCAGACTTTATTTTTCTATAAAAATGAGCCCTAAATAAATAAATATATGTGAAAAGTCTCCAGAAAAATCCTTCCTATTCTGATGTAATTGACTATGAGATGCAGTAACAGTAAAGAAAAACGCCAAAGGAATCCACTATAGTAATGGCAAAGCGCATTTAATGCATAGAAGAATCTCTGTACAAACAGCCAATTCTTAAAGAAAGTCAAACTAAAACTACTTAGAATTTTCTGATACCTGTCATAATATTCCTTATTAACTGAAGTTTAGTACTTGATATGACCATACCATCCATAAAATGTAAAGCCAACTGTTTCTACAGTCAATGGCTTCAGTTTTGTTTTTTTTTTATTGAACGTAAGTTGGAGATTATGCAGCACCTTTTGGTTGTTGTAGTTAATAACAAATGAAAACGAAGGCTTTCATGCTCTTCAGAGTTTGAAGTTATTTCCAGCATTGAGTTATTGGAAAAAAAAAGAAAATCCAGAAGAATTTAGTTTACTTGTAGATATTTAGAAGGATATACTGTATGCCAACTGCAGGATCCAAGACTGTCACTATGGCATCCACTTTTTATCCAATTTGCTCCCAACATATTCACAGCAGGACCAATGGCACACTGAATTGAGTAATTTTATATCTTTACTATTTTTAGAATGTAAGAGAAATGTAAGCTATTAGTTCTCAACTCTTCAGAAAAAAAAACAGCCTTCCAATATCCAGCGTGAACTAATAGCCTGCCAAAACTAGCTTAGTAATATTTTCTTGATATTTTGTCAACTCAAAATCTCAGACTTATAAAAGCTACGCTAGGCATTGAAACAGGTAAATTTTCTTCCCATGAGTATCAGTTAATCCCATTTAATAAAAAGTGAAAAAAAACAATTTTTCACTGGCCTCAAACAAGACTGACTTTGGTATTAAATAAAACACAACTGCCAAGCAACGTACAGCCCAGTTTTTTCAAGTTATGGCAACTGTCAGTCCACAGCAGCTTTTGTGTGGGCTGGCACATCTGCTTTAACACAGCTTACAAGAACAACCATCTGCATTTACATTAAAGAAAAGGAAGCAGGAAAGATGGAAAATGAACTACTTTGGTAGTGCTGGAGATTTTTCTCTGATGCAGAACAAGACAGGCAGAGGTTTTAGGCGGACACTCACAACCTTCTTTATAATAAGCACCTCAAGGTAAACTAGGCAAAAGTTTAATATAAATATAAAATCAAGCACTTACATGTCTAAAACAGAGAATCCTCAAAGCTACTAAGTCAAGATAAAACAAGTATAAAATGATTTATAACAGAATGTCCCACTGTGGCCTCACAGACAAACCCTCGCATATTGGACTGATTTCAAACAATTGTGACTTCCTATGTTCCAGTAAATTCTGCACAATTAATTTGGTCTGCTTCTTAGGAAGTTCTGTCTGTCACCACAGAGTCCTAGCTCTAAGTTTGCATCCTAACACTCTCCACATAAGGCCTTCATTAGCTTCCCTGGCAGAGCTAGTGGAAGTGAAGCACTACCTACAGTACAGGGACCACACAAGCAATCTGGAAATACACAAGTCCAAGAGACCAGATGGGATGCATGTCAAGAGCTGAGTGAACTCGCTGATGTCACAAGAAGGCCACACTATTATCTTTGAACAGTCACATCCATCAAGGGAGGTTCCTGATGACAGGAAAAAGGCAAACACCACACTCAGGCTAACTTCAGTTCTCAGCAAGATTATGGAACAAATCTTGGAACAAGGATACTGAGAATAGTTGAGGGTTCAACATGCATCAGCAGACAAAAAAACAAACTGCATTTTAAGTTGAAGACAGCACAGCAAGATGGTCAAAAGAGATCATTCTTCTCCTATGTTTAGGACTGGTAAATTCCAGCAGGTGTACTATAACATGGGTAGAAAACTAAGTGTTTTTGTGCTCACCACAGGTTCAGAGACATGATTATTTGCTTTCTTTTTGTAGCACTTGTGAGACTATCTGGAGCTTCTTTGGGCGTTCCACCCTTACTAGACTGATCTCAGTAGGGAATACAGGGCTGTAGAAAAGATGAAGCAGGATCTAACTTCAGTGTTCTCCTACCTAATGGAAAGGAAGAGAGAAGATTAAACAGGACTTCTTCTGGAATTGCACAATGAAAGGACATTATGCACTTAAGCTGAGAACTTCAGAAAAAAAACTTGGTGGTAAGGATGGTCAAACACTGGAATGGGCTGCTGAATCACTGCACCTTTATCCTCTACCCTTGTACCATCAACCTGTACCTTTTCACCCGTATCCTTGTACCATCAGCCCTCCACTGCACATTCACCAATGAATCATAAAATAGATGTCCCCTCCAGGGGAATATAGCAACATTTTAGTAATGCCAACAGTGATAATTTAAAAAAAAAAAAATTTTTTTTGAGCATTACTCTATCTTCCGTGTTCTTTCCTCCCGAAAGAACACTGTAATTTCTTTTTACTCTGCATAAAGAATTCTTTAAGAGTTATTTGCATCCATCAAGTAGAGAAAAATCCAACAGCTAGAAATTCCAACGCACGGTCTGATCTCATTTCCATAACATTATAAAACTACATGCACATCTGTTTCTTTGAACTTAGAATGGGCTATCACATCTGATGCTTTGCTTGTGTCTGAGTACCAATATTTAGTAAAGCCTTACATAATGATCTGGAAAAAGTAATCATCCAATAACTAGAGCAGGAAGCTATATCCTCTTTGCAGTAACAAGAAACAACCAAATGTTTGATACGCTCAAACTTAAATTATGAGTGTCTAAAAAGTTCATCCCTTTTAAAAACTTTAATGTAAAAGAATTGTGGTTTTTTTTTTTTCACTAATTGAATTTCTAGAATTCAAATAAAGCAAAATAAATTTCAATTGTATCTTTTTTTTTTTTTTTTTTTCCTGGTAATTTGAAGCATTGTGAAATAATTGGAATCAGTAAAGTCCAAAAACTTTCAAAACTGCAGCAAATCCATACTGAGCAATGTACATAAAAGGATTACTAAAACAAGACACAGCTAGCATGTGTTGTGGTCAACCCAGAGCTACGCCTTAGCTGGCTGAGCAGTCAACTGTTACAGAATAGCAGCTGAGTTCCTCCTGCCTTTCTGTCCATTGAGTTCCCTGAGACAGATGAAATAAACTTTGCTAGTTCACCTCTTTACCAAATTTGGTTGATATGCTCATCAGTTTCATCTTCAGCAGATGGTCATTTGGACAGCTCAGCTACATTACATTTGTTTGCTCAGAAAAGCCAGCCACTTAATGCTTTTCATCATGGATCAAAAACAAATGAGCTGAACAGAAATGAAGATGTTAATGCATTTGTAAATCTGCACGCTACTTGAAGTAGGCATAGAAGATGCTGTAGAAAATCCTAGAGAAAAGAGAACATTGGATGATGAAGTAGAAAGTGACATGACAGGATTTAGATGTAGTTTAAATCCTTTATTATTATCTTATACTGGAACACTTCTGAGTTGATATGCAGGAAGTATTAAATCAAACAGAAAATAGTACTTCTGCTAGCAATGACTCCATCATTGTTGACTGTTAAATAGCAGACAACAGAAACAGCATGAGATCTCCCTGCTAAACCAACTAATCCAGCAGTTCCTTCTAGTACTACAGCAGGCATTGTCTACATTTGTGCAAAGATAATTTTTCTGTTGTTTGAAGGCTATACAGAAAAGTAAAGAATTTTTACAACTAAAAATACCAGTTTTCTATCTATCAGAAATATTAATAAATTTTTTTTGAAGGAAAATTCCCCTGTGGTTTGGAAACCCAAATAATTTTCAGCTTGTCTCTCCAAGAAAAGCTATTAAATGTGCTATTTCTTAATGTTCTAAGATGGCAGAGCCCCAGAGCACAGCATTCAGATGAATGTTTTTTAGGGTACATTACAAGGACTTAATTCTGCTTATAGTTGTACATGTACAACTCAACATAAATGGATGCTACATGCAGACAGCCAAAGGCAAAATCTGGTACATAACATTTCAAAAGGATGAAAACATTGGCCAAAAAAGTCTACACATTTTATGAGTGAAGTAATGGAATAAAACCAGCTGTATTCATAACCACATTAAAACATTCTGCATTAATGTCCCTAATTTCAGTATGAATATTGGCAATATTGGCGTAACAGGAAAGCTACAGGGCATCCAGGAGTGAATGACCCACATAATGTAATTAAAACGAATACTAAATAAGCCATTGGAAAAGAACAAACATCAGGAGGTTATTAATTAAAAGGTATAATATTCCCAACATGCAAACTGGCAGCCACAAGTTGAGCTCAGAAAAATTACCTTGGTTTTCATACTGTTCTGACAACAGATGGTAGCAGCAGCCTACACTGCAAACTGCTTTGATTTCAGGCTTGGCAGTAAAAATTCGTAGTGTGTTTGCAGCAAGGTCACCACATGTATGCAGACCAACCATTATACAGTCCTAGGAAGAGAAAAAAAAAAAGCACAATATAAAGCATCTCCCTGTGCAACTGAAAGAACATGAATAACAACAAAATCCAAAACCCAAACATACTGCAAAGGGTCATTCATCTACAAGGTTTAAATATACAACTCCATAACGGCTCCAGGTGTTCTGTTCCAGAATCTTTTCTAGGCATGAGAAAAGCACTCCAGTTCTAAGAAAACACAGTGGTTGTGAGGAACCAAACTGCTCAGTATTTTGTTCATCTATGGAGCTCTGTATCTCTATACATTATCTCCAATTGGAAACAAAAGCACGTTTAACTGCATGGGAGGGAACATCTGCATGACAACTGGACACTGGCCACTTTCTCCTAGCTTTCCTGTCATAATTTTTACTACCACTGCTACTTCCTTTTCTTCAGATTGACTATCATAATACAGACAGTTGGACTGATCTATGGCATTTCTGCTACTCTGAATTGCTGAAAACAAAACCACTTCCTAAATTTAACTTAAAGAGCAGGCCCTACCTCATCTGCTTTGTTACTTCCAGAACTGTAGCTGTACTGTGGTGTCCCTACGACTGTAGATTCAATAACAGAATTTTCTTCCCTAAAATAAAGAACTTCAGATACTCCATTCTTCTCCATTCCTCGTCCTCAGTTTCCCATTTTCTTCTATTTCACCATCTAAATCAGCCCTCTTCTCACTGCTCAGAACAAGACTTTTCCCTTCCAGCACTGGGATCTAAACATGGTGCTTACTGCTTTGAATTCCAGCCTTATTTATTAAACATAATCAACAAATAATTAGCCAACATTCAGTTGTGGGACCTTTCTGTACATATCTGTTTTTTTTTGTTCTGTACCCTCTTCTTACTGTTCTTTTTTTCACTCTTTGCTACTTCTCCTTGATTGCCCTCTCCTTGTCTTAGCATTCAGAATTTTTTGGTGGCAAAAGTTCAGTTCCAGTTCAGCTTAGTTTTTAAAGACTTTTTTTCCTGTTTGTCAGCTCCAGCTCACCATTCCACAAAGCTTTTCTTCCACATAAAATAGAGCAGAACAATACTGATGGCTGGAGGCTAATGGAAGATATTCACTTGCAAAAGCAGCATTTAAACCGCTGCATTAAAGTCAGAGAGGTTCTTTCAGGGGAAAGTGAGTGGAAGATGGCTACCGTATGCCATCCATTCCATATCCAGGAAACACATTACAATGCTCAAAACCTCTGAACAATATGGGCATGATCTGTCTGGGTCAGGCACGCTTCTGCACCATCCCTGGCTTCACTGAGGTTGCCTGGGTGTAACTCAAAACACTTTCTGGATCGTTGGTGTCAGTGCAGTAAAATTTGTATCTCAGCATTTGTCCTAGGCTACAAACAAACACACATTTCTACCCCCACATTTCATCAGCAATTCAAATAAATTTCAGGACTTACAGTATAAATCAGTAAATACTAATTTTACCCATTCCACTTTTTTTCCCCCAGTTTAGAAAAAACTGAGAAAAAAATCACAATTTATGATTAAAATAATAAATGTAAATGTTTGTAAGACTATTTGCAAAACAACTTTTCTTAAAATTTCAAAAATATTTTAAAGCCATTTAAATGATTGCTTATTTTAAAGTATTTTAATTATGCATGTTCATCACACGTAGCATGCAGTCTGATTTTTTTTTTTTTTTTTTTTTACCACAATATAGGTTTTACTTTTTATAGTTTTTTTAAAGACAGGTAGTGATGGAGGATTTTTCCTGCCTTTTATATCATACAAATCATATCCTAAGAGGATATAAAATCCAAACATGCAAATGTAAAGGCGGATGCTTTACCTACTGTTGAGAGGTATGTAAAGACAGTATGTAACACAAACATGTATTCCTAAATTAGAAATGAAATACACATTTGAATATATGAATGCATACAAGTTTTCATCTTTCCATAAAAGACTGACTATATCTACTCAATCAACATACGTCAGCTCAGGCACAGTAGCAGCTTCTCGACTTGCGTCACTGTCTTTGGGCAGCTGAGTTTGGACTTGCACATGTAGACGCAGTTCCTGCCAGCTAGCAGATTACTAAGTACTAAGTAACATGGAAAGGCCAAAATATATCAACATTATTTAAATATATGGCTCATTATAAACTCCTTATGTTGAGTACTGTACTCAGTAAATTACTTCATGCCTTCAAAGTTTTACTGAAATTATAAAAATATAAAACTTCAAGAAATTTCAGGAAAACTGAAATTCCAGTGCTTAAGATATTTGTCTCCCTGGTAAATAAAAAATTCTTTTCCTAACACTTAGATGTCATCTATAATCACAATGGTAAAATACTCGAACATGTTAATATGTATACTGTTAATTATGACATCTGATTATCATCTGCTCGATAAATTTTAAAGGCTGTTTCACATATTTGAAACAATACTAACACACATACTAAACTAGAAAAATAATCTCTGAATCTGTAATACATACTAGTGTAAACTAGCTGGGTCAGAGTATTCATTCACATATGTACACACATCAAACATTATGGATGTATGAAAACAGCAATATAAAGACAAAGGAGAATATATTTCAAATATTAGTGACATAACCTCCAAATCTGTTATGATGTCACTGAGTTCTGTTTCTGCGCTGATGTAGGAGGTCAATGGAAAATAAAGGTTTGATTCACTTGACTTGCTCTCTTTAGCCTTGATAAATGCCATTTTTCTTCGTGCTTTTTCCTCTTCACAGACTTCCCCATAGTTACAGTGGGATGAAGAAAAAACTTCTACAGCATCAGCAGGCAGAACACTGAGAACAGCAAGAGCCTCTTCAGAAAGCTTGCTCTCATCAGACTGTGCCTGAGCCAAATTGATCTCAGTTTGTTTGCTGGTCTCAGATACAGCTACTTCTGTGAAAACACAAGAAGGAACTAAGTCCTGGGTAGTCCCTTGGTCTTGACTTTGAAGACTGCTGTTATTACTTAAGGGCTTTTCATTGATAGCTTTACATTTTATTTCATTTTTTATTGGCTTTTCCAGCCTCTGGGTTTCAGAATTGGCTCTTGCTCGACTCTGATAAGTTTTCCAGTGTTTCTTCAATTTCCTGTTCCTTTCATGAGCACCGTTAGTATTGGTTTTCGATGAATCGATTCCATAAACTTTTAAGTTATATTGCATAGACAAAAATGAACTCAGGTAGCCCTTTCCAGAACCTATATCAATCACCTTGATAATGGAGAAAAAGGAAAAAAAAAGTACCATATTAATGAGCAACAAGACGCATTTCAATCAAATGCAAAATATTTCCTTAAAAAACTAAGCATTGATTTGATAATTACTTTATCAGTTATCCTCTTACTATACTTAAATCTGCTTTCTGGCACATCTTCTGACTTTAAAAAACAGAATGAAGTCAAAACTGATTTCCTCTAGGAAACAGACAGCACAATGCTTATGCACTGCACATGTCCTGACACTTTTGGAAAATACTTTCAGTATGTACTTTGACATAGAACTTCCTTCTGTTAAAGAAAATAACCATAAATCACCAACACTACCACCTGCCCTTGCCAGATGGGGTTAAAATACTGAGTTAGGAAGGGAAGTGTCCATATTAAGTTTAGACACTTACTAAACCAAGTACATGGAAAAAAACGTCTGCAGATTCAGTGCTTAACATAATCAATTCAGACATGACCTAAAGACATGCCATATTAATACTGCCTCTTATGTCAGAACACCTATTTATAATTTTTTCTTTTTTTGTGAAAATAATCCATACAAACCTGTGTAACAGAAGGATGGTTTTGTAATAAAACAAACCAACAACAAACGGCCTGATATATCACATATGCTTTCCATTGCCTGTTTTGGGGGAAGGTGTGAATAGGAATGATAACTAGCTGAAAGTTTAGTTTCTCTCCTAACAGACAGCATGTGATACTTCAAGTGACATTTCCCTAAGGGACGGAAATCATAACATTCACTTCTGTTCAGATATGAACCAAAAATTATATTGAACAGATACAATGACTTTGTAGATGTCCCTGAAAAAGATTCATTTGAGAATGTTTTTCGTGTCTTGTTCTTGGTTTGTTGAACATTCATAAGGAAGTTTAAATTGACTGTATAAGTGTAAATGCCAGAATATACTACATATATCCATCTTAAACACAACTGCATATGTTTTAACTAGGTAGGAATATACAGTACAGAAATATCCTGACAGAAATGAAAAAAAAAATTATCTATTCTAGAAATACAAAAGATTTGTACAGCCATGGAATTAGGAAGAAAAGATTAAATAAATGCCATTAAAGACTACAAAAAAACAGTGGAGAATACATGCCATTAAGTAAAAATTGTCTACTCAGGCTATACACCTTTCTCATCTGCATTCTCCATATAATATTACTGCATGTTTGCTTGTCTAGGTACATGAGAATCCTCAAATTTCTTGAGTGAAATTAGTAGAGGAGAAGATACAGTGAAAAAGAATTGATATAATCCAAGGATACATGTTGAAAATGTCATATATTACATTAATCATCAATATTTTCTCAGATTATTTAAAATTGAGGGAAAGAAAAGTGCCAAAGGAGTAATTACTTAATAATTACCAAGGATTAATTTATGTAGCAGATGTTATTATTATGCAGAATATGCACATCTCCACTTCTACAAGGTATCTTAACTACTTCTGCGAAGTAAGTATTTGGACAGAGAATTACTGAATACTCCTGACTCTGATCTCTGGTGGCTATAAAGACCAACTGCTGGTTCTTTAAGATTTTTTCACCTGTTTACAAGTGAAAAGAATCACAGAACACTTTATGTTGGAATGGACCTTAAAGATCACCCAAGCACCCTGCCATAGGCAGAGAACAGACCAATAGAGCACATTGCTCAAAGCCTTGTCCAAGCTTGTTCAAGATCAGCTTCCTGGCATAGGGCATCTATTCTCAGGAAAAAATAACACACTGTTTAATTAGCACTGGGAAATTAGCTCTGAAACGAGGAAATTTTGACCAAAAATGCGATGATCTTTGCTCAACAAATAGAGTGGATTAAATTAATCCTTGTTTTACCTTCCCTTGATGACATAAGGAAAGGCAATCAGTAACCCATAGCAGATCTGCCAAGCACGAACATTTAAAATGAAATTTCCATGATATAATGAACTCCAAAGGTCCTGTCTATAGTGACTGGGTACTATGTTTAAACACACCTTCTGGCAGCACACAATCAAGAACTCCATATGCCTTACAACTTTTCCCAGCACCAAATCACAAATGTAATGGATGGTGAATGCAGAATTATATCATACTTGCAACTTTTGTTGGACATGCTGCAATTTCCAAGGAAAACTTTCACAAATACATTAAAGAAAACAAATGTGCAATTAAGCAAAGAAAAATTACTACTGGCTTCTTTTCACACTTTAATCAAGAACTTCTTCCTAAAAAGTTCCACTTGTATGAGGACAACGATGCTTAAGAGGGGCAGTAAACAATTGAATAAAACTTCGATTAATTTTTTAATGCTTTAATGTTTTAATTCAAATTGTTAATGTCAAAGTAATTACAGTAGTAATAGAATTTTTGCTTTTCTTTTCATTTTTACTATTTATTTTAGTAGACTGTAAGATACTACAAGAGGACAATATGCTCTACTGCCCATTATACATCATGGTACGGAGGTGAAATGGAGGGCATTTTTCAACCCGTCAGTGATCTGTAGTATCTGAAAGAAACACCCTGAGGACACATGCTATTGTAAAACATGTGTTGTGTTTTCATAGCTCTAGCATTTTTAATTAAATGTTATATACATTTTGTTTTGCCGAGTAGGACAGAAAAAAAATCAATAAAGAAAACACTCTCCTAAAACTTTACAATTCTTATATTGTTTTAAGTTGAAAGGTAACCAAAACAATAGAAGTTGCTTTTTAATAACTGGGAAGGAGGCTTTTCTGTTTTTTTCTTTTTTAACATGTACTGGAAAGCTCTTTTCATATATTAGGGATTTGTAACTTTGAACAAATAAATTCTCTCACAGTTATGACTAAAATGGAAAAAAGTTAATATAAAGCAGTCAGCATTTCATATTCAGAGATATATTGCAACCATATTTTTCATTAAATGCTACGTTTTTTTCAAAAAATAAATAGAAAATAATCCTAAAGATACTCCAAGTCATCTGATAAAAGTGCATAATCACAGGCTGAAATTGTAGTGCATTGACAGATACTTAATAATTGTTAGTTTGAGATTTTATTAGTAACCAGCTACATCGAGACTTAGGTGAGGTCATTAAGGTGGCTCTACTTTTTCACTCTCTGATTATAGCTTTTTCTTTCCTCTCATTCATGAATCTCATGGGAAGTATTTAAAATCAAAATGAAAATGCTATATGAAACACCACCAATTCATCTTCTAGCAAATGCAGAGAACATTTAGTATCACATTATGTGCAAACTACACTTTTCTAAAACTTTTTCAGTACATGAGTCTTCAACACTTGAACAACTGACACTTGCCTGAAGCAAAAGGTAGGCAAGGCAAAAAATATGCAAATAGAACAAATAGAAGAATTTACTTTTGTGCATCTGTTTCTAGTGCATTTTCACCCTTTATAGAGTGCATACACTTTACGATTGTTCAGGGCATCCACATTTGTCACTGTGGCTGGCTCCTGATGGAGCTACTGGAGAGATCTCGTACCATCTCTGAATAACTGCAGATGCTCACAGATTGCAACTCATCCAGTAATATTTGGCCTTAGTTACAGTTCTCTGTTTACTTGAGATTCCCAGTTGTAATGAGGAGATTGCCTAGAACTTTGCCCTTTGCAGCTGCTCCTTACAAAACAGACAAGTCAGAGTTCAGAGTTCAGATCTTCAGTTTCTAAGGACACTGACCCAAACCTATGAAGAATACTTCATCAGAACATATCGTTTACATTATCTAAAATAAACTCAGTCTGAGCAAATAACATGTGTCTAACACATACAATGTGAAATGTGGTACTGAAAAAAGTCAAGTGTTGTGATGCTTGTGTTTTGCCAAGAGGCCCATTAGTAAACATCTACAAGGTTTTCATGCAACAGTGACTTAGTGAACTATGCAATCCTAATGACGTTAAGAAAAGGGTAAGTTACAGTAGCATTTTGGAAGAGAAATCCTGCAATTCTTCACCATCCAAGGATGAACTTGCCATCCAATGCACAGGCTTTCAAAATTCCTCAGATTATCTACATTTTTCCCTATGTGGTACCTGTTTGTGTCTCACAGGTGAAGACTGTTTTGCTCTCCTACTGATGCCTACAGTAAATTGCCAGCAATAGAAGGCAGCAACTGAAACAAGGCAGTGTCTGTGCCTAGCAAAAAGCAGTGCAATTTTTAGCTGATCAGTATACAGAGGACGAAAAGATTTCTTACTTTTTTTTAAGTCATGAAATGACCATGGCTCTCTAAAAGGCAGTTCCTTGAGAACAAGCCATTTATAAACAAAACTGCCCTTCAGCTTGCCTTTAAAGGCTTTACTATAGCTATAATTATTTAGAAAAAATCAGAGCAGCAGAGAAAAAATATCAAAATATGGTATTTCAAGAGAATAAAGGTAATAATTTGGAAATGATACAGTAACATACATTAAGAAATGCCTTCTTACCTGCTTTAAACCACAATACTTTGCTATTTTGTCTACCAGCTCTGACATTGCTTGTACTTCATGCGATTTCTTATTATTCATAAACTCATCAGTTTTGATACCTGCATCAAATTAAGAAAATATATACACATTGACATAATCTATAATAATAAACATTTTTAATCCATTAGAATATTTTCCAGTCTAAAAGTATTTCTAAGTATTTTTTATACTTTAAAGGCAGTAATTTTTAATTAAACACCCATTAAGCAGTTACAAGACTAAACTCTGAATTACACATAAATTAAAAAAAAACACTTTAAAATATACTTTTACTTTAAAAACTACTCTTAAAGTAGGTTTTTTTTTTTTTTTTGAACTGTAATATCTAAAGCCTGACCAGATATTAGACAAAAGCTATTACCAAAAAACTACTTTCTTTTGTTTTTTCATTAGAAAAGATTTATTTTTACGTCATTTATCATATTTATATTTACATACATGAAATATAAAGGCAAGGACAATTAACAGTCACACAGTTGTTGCTTGTTAATTCTCACGATTTGTTCACAGTATCATGTGGGAGATACCTCAAATAAAAGTTATGACAATGCTGGTAAAATTTAAAGAAAGATGCAGTGTTTTTTCCCCTTTATTTACACTATGGATGTATACACTATGGATAGATAACAAAACTGCTATATGTTTTCAGAAGAAAATGACTCAAAATATGTTAATGAGATGAAATCAACCTCTACCACCAGTTTACATAGCTACATCCCTCCAACTAAGGAGTAGCTCACAAGCAGCTCCCTTGTGAGAAACCTTATGAGTTAAATTGATAGCAATTTTTCTAAGTCTAGGTAAGGTAGAAGAAAGAAGACTGCTACTGGTGAGTATGCTCTTACTAAACAGAAAGGATTAATATTTTCCCCTTTTCTGCTTTTTGCACAGTATACATTTGTCTGTCCAAAATCTGATCATTAGGCAAAATCTATGTTCATTCCTTGATCAGACCATGCTAGGAACAGAGCCAGGAGCATTACTTATTTAAAAGAGAGTGGGGAATTGCACTGAGCTCATGAGAAACCTAATGTTTTCTCTATTTCTTGAAAACCCACAGGATCTCTCAATTTCTCAAACATCTGTTTTTTTAAGAACAAACTGCTATGACAATTAAAAATCTAACAACTGACAAAAGAAAATAATAGTCTAAAATATTTTTAACAAAACAAAACAAAAAAACAGAAACAAGTGTTTTGCTAAAGTATTCACTAAAGATTCTCATTTGCTTGAAATGGTGAAGAGATCTGTGGCCTCCCAAAAGCTCTTAATTTGTAACTATTTCAAATGAAAAAAAAAGAAAAAATAGAAGAAAAGAAACCTTTTTTTTTTACCTATCTTTGAACTTTTTGGATAAGCTCGATTAAAAAAAAAAAGAAGAAGAAGAAGCAGGAGGAGAAAATGAAGAATCAGGTATTAAATATTTTTAAAGAAATAAAAGATTTGTTTGTCTGGTCTCCAAAGCAGCGCCTTCACTCTGAGCCATCATCACATATCACACCTTCCATCCTTTGCTATAATACAAGATCAAATGACTGACATGGTAATACTCTGCAGTAGAATTTCAAACAGTACTTAAACAGTACTTAAACCTCAAATGCCAGGGGTAAACCCTGAAACAAGACCCAACTTAAAGGAACTGAGGTTTCAGATTTAAAAAAAAAAAAAAAAAGGGTGCTCATACCTACACATGTATTTATCACCTTAGTTACTAAAGTTTCTAAATTATTTTTAGTCCTACATTTTACAGAATGAACACTGCCTAGATTCTAGCACATGGAAAATTACACTGCTTGCAGAAGATTACTTTTGTCAGTTTTATTTTTGCTGGGTTTTCTGCTAAATGTTGATTGCGACAGCTTTGTGTTTGTCTGTTTATTTTTAAATTATTTTGATAAACAAGTAAACATATGTTAATCTAATAGGGAAAAAAAAAAAAACATTTCTTTGAGGTCTGGTTTAGATGCCCAAAACATTCTTTTGTGACATAAGAAGAAAGCGAGGCTCCAATATTTTACAGAAGTACTCTGGATATTACAGAGTAAAGGAAAGCTTAATGTCTAAGTGGTACTAAAATGTTGCTTGTTTACATTGTGAACCCTAGCATAAATAGACATTTTCCAATTGAAAAACTGCTTTAACTCTACAGTGCCATTTGTACCCACATCTTTAGTTCTGACCTAGACAAAGTGAGGAGAGACTGCATTTCATATATGCCTAATGCAGATCTTCCAGATCTTTTATACCCTTGCTACCTGTGGAAATTCAGATACACCAGATTAAAAAGAAATTTTCAGTCCATTCATAATTTACAACACCATCTATACAGAAGTTACAGCGCTGCAATTTAATTTCATCAGCCAAGACTGGCAGGGACTGGGATGACTATATGCTAAAAATCATTGAGACATCCCATGTAATTTAAAGATAGAATTATTAACAATTATTGCATGACTATTACATAGGGCATAAACATGTTGAAAAGGTAGAAAGTACTATTATTTCAATATTTTAGCAAGCCTCTCTCCTTATGTCAGGTATAAAACAGAAACTGTCCTTACTGGCTTGCTCCTCTTGGGCCAGGTCTTCTGGATCCTTGTGCTCAACACAAGCAACCCAATGGGGCAATGAGGGCCACAGAGAACTTCATTAGGAAGGAATGGAAAAAACACTTCACATTCAGACTACACTTAAATTTTGGAACTAACCTTTTCAGATAATCATTCTAAGCAAGAATATAATATGTCTGCATCAATATGCTATAGAAGTTAGAGAACTACACAAGCAGTTAATTTATGCATGAAAGTTAATTTAACTGATACTTCGCCAGTTCAATACAAAGGCTTTGAATTATAATACCATTGTTTACGTTCAGAACATTAGAACATTTTATTTTCTCAGTGAAGTACCACTAGAATAACTACACCACAAACCCAGACCCCAGCTACCCAACAAAGCAGAACTCCTTCAAAACACAGCACAAAATAATTAGCAATTGCCTTATTCTATGTTTCATTCTGCATGAGAAAAAGATGAAAGAATCCTTATATTTTTGCTTGAGAAAGTTAATCCAAGCATGAACTCAAGTACATATATTAACAAGGAAGAACTACAGAATTACTGAAAATTAAGCAGAACACAGAGAATGAGAACATAACGAAAATGCTAATAGCTAAAGAGCAAGCAAAAGGAAAGCAGCACACACTGTCAAACAAGGAAAAAAGGCTTCAGTTAGAAAAACAGCAGAAGGAAAGAAGTCAGGAACTAAATTTACAGCAAGATCAATGCACAACAAACCATTAAGACTATTTGAGCTGCTTCAGTAATTCTGAAGAAATCTAAAACTGGGGGAACAAATATGAAAAATGGCAAAATTGGAAAGAGAAGATTGCTGTAGAAAACAGGAGAGAAGCCTAATGTATCTAATGTTGCTATCACTAAGGATGGGAAACATCAGAGGCATTTTAATTTATTACAGTGACAAAACACACTAGAAAGCATAGGCTACTGGCTTAGAGTCTGCCTCTGAAAAACTAATGAGAAATCTGAAAAATGGTGAGAAACCTATGATTGAAGATTCCATAAAAAACAGATGCAGTGAAAAGACAGCGGTAAAAGCATAAATGTAAGCTCATAATCCAAAACAAACAAACAAAAAAATTAGAGGGAAGACTTCCAATGTAAAGATACCACCTTGAGAGTGTTTTCAGCCAATCTCTTCAAATACAAAAAATGAACCTACTCTAATTTTAGGACACATATTTGGTACTTGTCCAAACAATACAGAATGAATAAAATCAGCTTCTTTTGAAATATCAGACTCTTACTGGGCCATATTCAGTTAAATGCCCAAGCACATGTCTAACATTAAACAAAAGTTGTGTGCAAAAAAAAACAGCACCTGAAGAGGTATGGCTGCCTGACTTTAGGCTGAGACTTAAAAACAAACAAAAAAACCCAATACTAGAAGTCATAATTTGCATTGCTGTGGGGGAAGAAATACAAAGGGAATTAACAAGATATTTCATCTATATATGAAATAATGATGTGCCTGATTGCCTATCTCAACCCCTTCAAAACAGGGAGAATCTCAGCGGAAGTCTGAATGCTGTCACCTTTCTGCTGAAATTTAAGCACAAGAAGCCACCTTCTAAAAAAGTGGCAATGAAGAAATTATCTAAGAACAAATGAGATCTGAAGCTGAGAAGCATGTAGGAAGGAAATGCATGTAAGAACAAAACAAAACAAAATTAAAAAAAAAAAAAAACACCAGCCAACACAAAACCAACCTCTGGAACAAAAACTCTGCAGATCCTGTAGTGAGAGAATAAAAACTGAAATATAAATGCAAATATACCACTTGCTCCTTGGCTGTCTCCTCTCAGCGCCTCAAGTATCTCTTCTAATGGGGTACACACTCCAAGGTTAGGCAAAGAATAATGCTTGGCAGCCAGGGCAAATAAGTGTACGTTGATAAGTTTGTTGGAGTTTTCACAAAACACGTCAGAAAATCTGTCGTCATCTGTATGGAAAAGAAGAGATTTCTATTAGAAATGCTTAGCACCACTGCAACAGTCTTCCCATAGAACAAAAAGCAATAAATACATGGTATCAGACAGAAGTAACAATTTTTTTTCACATGTGAAAATTAGCTATTATTCTATAGCCATTTTCCTCCCCTTTCAGAGCGCAGGTTAAGATTTGCTCTTAGCTGAATTAGTGCAAATGTAGAAAACTATTATTTTAGCAGAGCTATTTTAATATAACCAACAAGATAATTCAGTAAACATCACCACTTCTGTTTACAAACGTGCTCATTATGCCTTTCTTAGTTATCTCCATTTAACACTATACATACTATTAGATATTATTTTATAAGAATTGAAGCTGTTCAACATAAGAAATGTCTTGACTTAAACACATTACATTTACATCATTTCCAAGCTGTTTTGTAGCCTGTGAGGCACTGAAACAGGCTTCCCAGAGAGGGCAGGCCCCATCCCTGGAGGTGCTCAAGGCCAGGATGGATGGGGCTCTGGGCAGCCTGGTCTAGCATTAAATGGGGAGGTTGGCTGCCCTGCATGTGTCAGGGGTTCCTTCCAACCCAAACCATTCCATGATTCTATGATTCTATGGTGAATCTGCTGGGAGAATTAAATTATTTTTTATTACCAATCAGGTTTGAGCCAAAGTTAAATTCCAGTGCATATTTTGTTTGACTGAGGATGAAACATTTCAGTCTGGCATTACTTAGCTCTTCAGAAAATGTTCCCTTTTCAAAAATGTACATCTATTTCTAAGTGAAACATACATTGGTAAGAATCATTTACTAAATCTGAGATTGCTTTGTATTTTCTAATTCCTCTGTATTTTAGCTAAACATATTTGCTGAATTCTCTATAGTTTTGGTAAAAGTAATTTTAGAACTCTAAGCACTTACAAATGTTTTATAATAGATGACAGCTAGCAAGACCTGCAAACAAATTGTAACATTCGTTTTAAAAACATTTCCTGGTTTGTCTTTTCTCCCGTGGGTAGATAACGAGCAAGTGCATACCTAGCACAGCAACCTTCCAGAATCTGGCCTGCCCACCTGTACAAAGGATAGATCTATTTTATTCATCCCCTTTCTAATACTCTTAATTTTCATACATGAGTAGTGATCTCATATAAATTTCAGTCTATTGAAAACAGTCACAAAAACATCAACACATTTATTTTCACAGTGTAACAATACCAAGGCAAGCATTAGTAAAAAAAGATTTAAGACTAAGAAAGCATAAATATTGTCTAAGCCATAACCAGAATTAAATTCAGTGCCTGAATGGTACTTGTTACAATAATTCTCTGTGATACAAAAATCAGAAAAGAAAGCCATTTTTCACTCTAAATGACTGCTTCTTGTTTGAACTTCAGAACATTTGCTAATTTTTAGTTAATTAACCTTCAAGAAAGATAAAATACAGGCGTGCTCCAAAAGTAATGCCTCTTGTTTTACTATATTGACCCACAGCTGTACATATTGTACAGTTTAATGCTGTATAATATATTGGAGACTTGCATCTTTAAATGCAACATAATGATATGAACAAACTTAACAAAGAATCTATAGAATATTCTGAATTCGAAGGGATTCACAAGGATGACCAAGTCCAGCTCCCAGCCCCACAGAGAGCCACTAAAATCAAACCACATTTTTTAAAGCATTGTCCAAACGTCTCTTGATCTCTTGGCTGCTTGGGGCTGTGACCATTGCCCTGAGGAGCCTGTTCCAGTGCCCACTCACCCTTTGGTGAAGAACCTTTTCCCAATCCCCAACGTGACTTTCCTCATTTCCTCAAGACCTGTCACTGTCACAGAGCAGAGCTCAGCACTGCGCCTTCGCTCCCCTCGTGAGGAGCTGCAGGCTGCCATGAAGCCTCCCCTCAGTTCCTCTGCTCTGGGCTTAATGAAACAGATGGTCTCAGCCACTTCTTAGGTGTCTTGCCTTCCAGATCCTTCCTCATCTTCATAGCCTCCTTTAGAGGCTCTCCAATAGTTTTATGCCCTTCTTATATCGTGGTACCCAAAGCTGCCCACAGCGCTGGAGGTGAGGTCACACCAGCACAGAGCAGACTGGGACAGTCCCTCCACTTGCCTTGCTGGGTACGGTTGGCCCTTCTGGCTGCCAGGACACACTGATGATTCATTCAACCTGCCATCAATCAGCACCCTCAAATCCCTTTTGGCAGAGCTGCTCTCCAGCCTCTTGTCCTAAGTCTGTACTGAGATATGGGGTTATTCTGTCCTGATTTCAGAATCTAGCACTTGCTCTTGTTGAATTTTATGTGGTTAGAGATTGTCCAGCCCTCCAATTCTGTCAAGATCTCTCTGCATGGCCTCTCTTATCAATGGAGTCAAAAACCCCTCCTTATTTAGTGCCATCTGTAAACTTACCCGGTATACAGTTAAATCCCATATACAGATCATTAAAGAGAACTGGCCCTAAAATGGAGGCCCCACTAGTGACTGGTCACCAGCCTCATGTAACCCCATTTACTATAATCCTTTGCACATGAGCTGTCAGCCAAAACCTAGCTACAGTAGAAAAATAGAAACAACCATACACATACCCATCTTACACCACCCTATCCTGATGACACTCTGGAAAAACATTAAACCTATACAGGAAGACATTCACCCTAATTTTTCAAGCTACCTTTCAAATAGCTCACAAAGATCAACAGCAGAAGCAAATATTCTGCAGATAACAAATATCAAGGGAAACCACACCATCCTATGCCAAAAAGTAAGACACGTCTCTGCAGACCATCTCCACACTAAAGGCAGTTGTTGGACTACTTACTATTTACAAATATTAAAAATTGTAATTTTCTCAAACTGTTTCAACTTTGGTTGCTCTCAAGACAAAATCTAGTATGTCTTTTTAACCAGACAGTCCATATACTTGCAAATAAATCTTTGAAGGAAAGAAATATATGCAAAAAAAAAAAAAAAAAAAAAAAAAAAAAAATTGTAGTACAAACGGTAATATACAGTAAAATATGAGAATAATTAGGCAGAGATTTTCTGTGCCTGTGTTCAATTTGCAGAAATCACATGATAAACAAGATGCAATATGGCAAATGTTAGCTTTTAAATGTATAAAATATATAAAATGGTTTTCTATATCTAAAAACTGATCTGAAAAAAATCTGTACAGTACCACTGGAAACCATCTAACCTTTATGTCATCATTATAATGAAACATCTGATGAGTGTCTGAAAATATTCTTCAAAACTAAGCTGAAGAACATGTAATCTTCCTCTTACACACAATACCGTACAACAGAATTGTAATTTGTTGCTTATCTATCTCTAAGAGAAAACTACAGCTTAGCATGCATACTTCTCAAAATCCCTATAGTAAAATAAAATATTGTGCACAATAACAGTTTTGTGTCAATGTGTAGTAATGTTACTTTTTAATTTGCAGAGCCATATGAATTTGAACTGACGACCTCATATTTCCAAATCAATTCCGTCAAGGGTAGCCTGTGTTCCCCTTTAATTTCACTTGAGATTCTGGAAAACTTCCATAGTAGTGTTGGGAATGTGAACGTATAAATGCACAAACTCTTAGAGAGCAAAGGTTTTACCAGATGAAATCAAAGTGCCATTTTACACACACTGTGCGTAAGGTATTTGGGGTACATGACTCCAGTGTCATTTGGACATATGGAACAAATCTCTCCTCATAGCTACACCTCCTCACACACCTCCTCACGTGTTAGGAGAGCATTTAATACTAATTTCAAACTATATCCATATAACTAATGTTTAAATATCTGATAATTTTAAAATAAGAAGCATAGCCTCAGCAGGAAGGCAACACACTCACCTAAAACATGTGCTTCATTTTAGCCGTAAATTGTGTCCTTTGATCCAGTAATTCCTGTATTACATTCTATAGCACACGCTTGAATATAGCTCAGAAAATGATTTTCCAATTTTAAATTCTACAACGCAATATTCTACCTTCCTGCCTCTCTACTTAACAGGCCACCACCTCAGTGTCTGAATCATTTCATGGGCTATCCCATACATACAGTTAGGATTAAGGTAATTTTCCTTTAAAGTTTTCTTTTTGATGACTTCATCCAAATATCCGTTTTGTTCTAGACTCAATTACACTCTATTTTATGTTCCCACTATTGCTTAAAATCAGCTCTGACTCTGACATTACCTCTGAAATATACTTGACTTAAAGGTTTTGCTCACACTTCCCAACACTTTTGCTTGCTGACTGGATCTTTGTCTTGTTTCCATCTGGCTTCCAAAGTCAATTCATAACCCAGTGTCTTTTTCATGCATAAATTAGCTCTGTTTTTTGTGTCGGTTGCTTTTTTTTTTTTTTAAAGGAGTCTTACAGTTAATATTTTGAAGGTCTTCAGATCCAAGAGACAAATGTTACAAGTGATGTCGCAATTCGCAGCTCTTCAATCACTTTCCAAATTCAAATTATTATCTGCTTGCCGTTTATGCCAAAATGTACTCAGCTCCACATGCTGTTTTTTGTGAACCCTTACATTACACTCCACATGTTCTTCTGCCTCATGTGTCATTTCACGTGCCATATTCCAGAACTAACGCTACATAAGAGCTATCTACGCTTAACAAGCTTTGGCATGATGCAGCTTTTTCCTCTGCTACATTCTTTGTCAAAGGTTTTACCTTAGTTTTGAAGCTGATCTCTTTGCCAGGACTCAGGTCCCCAAAATAACAAACCTTTCAGATGCTTTATCTTCATTTCTCTGCTCTGCCTGAGAGCATATTATCGGTACGTTTCCCTTTTACATGGAGAGCAGTAAATTCACTCATAGAGTTTCATAGCTGGCCTCCTCTTGAGTTACTTGAAAATTACTAAAAATATGAAGTGCTTCTTAAATAGCTCTTGTCAGAAATAAAACTGCTTTCTGTCTTCCTTTGCCAGGCACTCATTATAACAGACATATAGGAAAGCCACGCTTAAGTCTTTTCCAGCTGTCCTCCACATTTCCACAGTTTCAACATTTGGAGGACTTTAACAGTTACATCTTTCCACTCGTATGGATTTATTTTATATGTATGCATGTATATTTTTTGTTCATTTTGCTCGTTATTCAGAAATTAGTCCGAGGAAAGGCGTCTGCGGGCTGGGAGCTTCATGTCGTTTCTCACTCAAAAGGAACGGGGTGGAAGTTTGAAATGAGACCACGACACCACCTAACATTATGAGCGCCTCTCTGGGCGCAATTCCTCGCACCGAGGCGGTACTATCGAGGCTCCAAAGACGTCGCAGTAACCGAGCGAGCCGAGTACCGCTGGTCCGCATAGACGGAGGAGCACAAAGGGCTCCAGGAGGGCAAAGCAGCGGCAAAGCACTGTGGAAACGGCTGCGGAAAAGCAGCTGGTAAAGGTGGAGGAATAAAGAGCAGCTCAGCAGAGTGGTGTGAGATTCTCCTTTTATTAAAGCAAAGGGAAACGACCGCAATCTGACTTTGCCACAGAAAAGAGGAGGCCAATAAAGTCTCAACAGCGAGGACAGAAGCTGATAGCGCCTACACCGCCTGAGACACCACAGCGGGAGGCAGTAAGCGCGCAGGTGTCTCCCGATCCCTGCCCGAGCCCCGCCGCTACGCCCCGCCGCGACTCACCCCACCGCACGGCCGCGGCGCCGGCGGCCTCCGGCAGGGGGCGCCGCAGCGCCTGCAGCACGACCTCGGGGCGCGCCGCCACCAGCTGCTCCCACAGCCCGCGCGCGTAGAACTCCGTCGTGTGGGCGCGGCACAGCGGCAACGCGCGCGCCAGGAACCGCGCCAGGCGCTGCAGCCCCTCCTCCGCCTCCGCCGCCGGCAGCTGGGCCGGCAGCGCGCTCCGCGCCCGCCGCATGGCCCTTCGCGCCTACCGCCCGCCTCGCGGCGCCGCCGCCGGACGGGCAGGCGGGCGAGTCGAGCGGCGAGCGGAAGCGGCGCACCGTGGTGACGTAGCGGCTGTGCGACGCTGAGGCGGCGATGGCGGCGGCGCGGCGTGCGGGGCCCGAGCGCGGGGCCGTGGAAAGCGCAGGCGGCGCGGCCCGGCGCCCGCAGCGGAAGCGGCTGTGGAGACCCACGGCAATGCACGGCCTTTTGGGGAGCGTCCAGCAGGGTGAGCCTGGCTGCGGGCACGCGGGTGTCAGGAGAACACTGACGCTAATCACGCTGCCGGCTTACGGTCACGCAGCTGAGTGGCTTGCCTCTTTCAGTGGCACTGCAGCCGTGCAGACTCCGTAAACCCGCTGCGTTGCTTATATCAGCAGCGTAACGTGTGCTGTGTTCCCTAAGTAGCGTGTTTGCAGTGATGGTGAAGTTCAGGCAGTAATTCTCAGTATATTTGTATAAGCTGCAGTAGGAACCGGGTTTCTATCAGTTTTTTTTTTTCCCCCGAGTCTTTAAAAGGTCTTAATGAAAATGATCCGAATTAGTGTCCTCTTTCGGGAAGAACATGAATGGGAAGTGGTCCTGGCAACAAGTGCATGGTTATCTGCTGCTCCAGTAAGCAGCATTTGACTCCCTTTTTCCTTGTGCTTACAGGACGAGGATTTGCATTTCGGAGAAAACAGAAGATTGAAAGGAAATATAGGAAACTATTGAAGAAGGAGCAGAAGATCTGTTCACCACGAGCTGATCAGTTCACAGATACTTACCCAGAGCACCTGAAGCATCTCTACCTAGCGGAGGAGGAGAGGCTTAAGAAACAGCACAAGTCTCCAAATGTTTCAGCTCTATCAGAAGAAAAGCTTAATAAAGCAGTAGAGTAAGTCATGGAAATACTTCTTTAAAAATAATGGTTTTTATGCTTACAGAGGTACTTTAGATCTTACACTTTACATGGACTTCAGTATGATGATTTGCTTAATAAAATGCACGTAACCCTTCAGTGTTTTTCTAAACTGTTAGAAAATGTAAGGACACAGCTTTGTTGTGTTTAAATCAGAATCAGCTTAATTAATGGTATTTAGGATTTGTTTCCAGAGTGTTGGCCAATTTTTATACTACTTATCGTAGAATCTTAGAGTTGGAAGGGACCTTGCACTGAACAGGGACATGCATAGGTAGATCAGTTTGCGCAGAGCCTGGTCCAGCCTGATCTTGCTTGTCTCCAGGGATGGGACATCCACTACCTCTCTGGGCACCCTGTACCAGTGTCTCACCACCCTAATTGTAAAAAACTTCTTTCTTATGTCCAATCTAAACGATGCCTTTTTGTTCCCATTACAGGGAGTAATGTAGATCTCTGAATTCCAAGGCCTGTGTACATTTAAACTTTTGGGAGAAGAACACGCACAAGAGTACAGAGAGAGGCAGTCAGATCCAAGCCCTGCAGTAGGAGGAAAGTAGATTTGTGTGTGGAATGGGCAGTTAATTCACGGAGATGACTTAGGTTTTTCTTCAAACTAAATTTTTTTTTTTTTTTAACTTTACCCAGAGTCATTGTGATTATAAACAAAATTTGTAATTTTATGTGAACGTGGCTGCTAATGTGCGAGGTGCAGTGACACTGTTAGGTAGACTTCAGTGCTTCAGTGCTCTACGGGGATGTAAAATAGGGCTTTGATTAGGTAATTCTTTTAAAATATTAGCAAACATTGCCTTTTAAGAACTTTTGCAGTTCTGAGATGGGGTGTCATTACTTAATATTGCCACAAGATGGAGACCAGAGCATAGCAAAGATTTTTTTTTTCCTTCAGAAGGGCTGTATTTCATAAAACTATGAGCAAATCTATTCACTTACCTTCTTGATTTTCTACCTGAGATTTCTGAGATGATGATAGTGAATTCTAGAAGTCTTTTATTATGAACAATAGACTAAACAAAAACTCATTCTGTGAACACCTGTTAAATATCTAGCAAGGCTTATGTTTTTCAAGTGTGAAATGTTTGATACCACACTGTTTACATAAAGGACTTTTTGTGAATCAGGAAAAAAAAATATTAAGCAGAGACATCTGTACATGTATTATAAATAATATGACAATAAATGCCATACAGATGGCACTGTGGGAGTGTTTTTTGTAGAGTTTTCTTTTGTGAGGAATAACTTCTTTTTGAATTTGGGAAGGAACATAAATTCAGCTCCTAATATCAGAATGTTAAGGGCATAGTATACTGTAAATGCCATCTTTTTCAATAAGAGTTTTAGAAAGGCATTGTTGCTACTTTTCACTTTTCCATGTCAGTGTGAACTCTCTGATGAGAAGTTTGCTGACATATGCTTGTCCTCATATCTCTGCAGTTGTGTGCAGGTGTTGGAACTAGAAGGAGATAACACAGCTCAAAGTTAGTGCAATGGTCCAGCTTTTCAAGCTCAGAAGACTTTGTATGATGGAGAGAAAAATCCTCTTTTAGGCAATGCTTAGTCTTCATATATGCTATTCACTGAAGATCCAGCAGATAAGACATGTGCATTACTAAAAGTTCCATGCTGTCCAGTCTTTAGTTCACTTGGAATGAAGAAATCTAGTTTGCTGTGTTGATAGATGCTCATTACAATACATGATACCAAATAGCGTTACATGTAAGAGTAGTGCAATTAGGTATTCATACAATATGGAAAGATGAGCTATGCTCTCATGTAATCTATAAATCTATATTTCTAATTAACTTCACCCCATACACAAAAAACAGTGCAAGACTGATTCTGCAGTGGCTGAGGTATATGTGGTGATGGGCTATCTGCAAGCAGGCATATTTGAATTTTGTGTATTTTTTCTTACAGACCAGTCACAACTGAAGGAAAGTTTAAGAAAAAAACATCCAATCAGAAGGCAAAAGAAGAGTATGAGAAAATACAGGCTGAGCGTGCTAAGAAGAGAGAGGTAAATGTTAAACAGATCATTCTGAATTTTAGGCATAGAGTAGTTTAATACTATTTCCATCTGAATTCAAATAGGACTATGGGAGAGGAGCACAGATACTGGTGATGTTTCAGTCTTTTTAAGCTTGCCATTGATGTGCAGGCATTCAGGTCTTTGGAATTATGGCTCTTGGTTCTTGGTCTTGCACTTGCTGTTAGAGGGATTTTTATTTTATCAAGAAGTATTTAGACCTTCATTTATTTGGGGGCGTTAGCTTCTCTAATGTTGGAATGTAAAATTAACTAGAACATTCTTACTAATTTTTGTACATCACAGAAGCTATTTATACCATGGAAGACAAAAATATAATCGATAAACTTATGATATGTTTGGACATTCTGCAGACATGTCAGCCTTTGTGGTCATCGTGGCATTGAATTAATAAACTTGATAAGAAGCCTTAAGTCTGATTTGTGATGGCTTACATAGGACAGGATACAAGAGAAGGAAGCTAGTTAGCTTGACCAAACTACTTGCTAAAATTATGCTAGAAAAGAGGATGCAAGCTCTTTGATTAAAAAAAAAGAAAGAAAGCAAGCATACAACCCCCCACCCCCACCCAACATATCATAACTATCCACAAATATCAAGTGCCTCCATTAGTGTTCTGGTTGTATGTGTGAAGCATCCTTGATAAGTAATGTGTATACAGTTGAATGTTGAATTACATCTTTTTCTTATCTCAGTAAAGACAGCAGTCTGTTTTGCTTTGAAGAGGACTGGTCACTATAATTTCAGTCCTGATTAAGCATCACAACATCATGCTGCTTGTGATGCTATGTTAGTATCGCAAACAGAACACCTAAATGTTTCCCATATCACATCTGCCAGTCTCATGCCAATATAACCAGTATCCTAGCACATCTGGGTTGGTATGGCATTTTCATGGGGTTGCTGAATCAAACTCTTTCAGTCTTGCGCTGAAAAGGAGAAGGTAGACAACTTTGGGCACTTGAGTCATTTAAGAAAAAAAGGAGCACATTTGGCAGAAAGGATGTAGTACATTTTTGGGGCCAAACCTTCCTTTGTGGGATATTCTAGTAAGAAAACTTGGCTGTTCTCTTGAAGCTTTAGACAATATATATTTTGATTGCATTATGTTCTGAAACAGTCCTAATTAAGCTTTTAAAGTCAATGGCCTACTATCCATACAGTACCTGATGACTAGTGCTCTTATAAAAGAGAATATATTGTTTGTAGATTTTTTTCACAATCATATCTGTTTTATTTTAGGAAGCAGAAAAAAGAAAGCAACAAAGAGAAGCAGCTCAAAGGTTGTACAAGCAAAAGAAAATGGAAGCTTATAAAGTACTGAGTAGGAGGACCAAGAAAGGACAGCCAAATCTAAATGCACAAATGGAGTTTCTTCTTCAGAAAATACAACAAAAGACATAAACCTCTGCATAAACCTCCATTACAGGTTTTGAGTTACATGTGGACATTTTATTAAATGACTTCTACTAAATAATCTCTTTTTGCTTCTTCATGACTTTTTACCATTGGCACGATTTATCTCATCAGTCCAATTGTGGAAGATATTCATCCTGAATACTTAGGAATATTCTGTTCCTAAGAGTCAGTGAGACCTGGTACTTTGAAAATAAACGGTCCATGTTACTAAAATTCTATTTGTGCAATATCCTGAATTCCAAATCATTAGATCTTGGTACTGTCTGAACACGAATTTATGTTTGTTTTATAGCTCCTAACACTTCCTGCTGGTGTAACTACTACAGTCATGCTTATTGGAGAGGAGCAAAATGAGTGGAGTAAAATGCGACATGGTTGATAATCTCATGAACTGTCAAGGAGAGGAGTATTCTCTGGGATAGGGTTTGGCACATGAAAACAACAAAAATTATACTTGGATGGCTACTATTCCCCTTAAAACTTAAAAGAAATCAAAAAACATCTTCAATTTAAAAATTGAAGATATGGTATGTTTCAATCATCTTCATCACAAAATATGTATGATGTAAACTAAGCGTGGTTTCTT